TAAAGCTTTTAGAGTAGACCAATCACTTGGCCTATGTACTAAATATGCAGATTCAGCTCTGTCGGTTAATTTGCTTACAATGCTTTAAATTTCTATAGGCTAGAGTTGTGGTAGAGACATTAGCATTAAAATTATCACAATCCGAAATAAACCTATCTACTTTTTCTGGAGAACCATCAAATGGAGCAATGATCTCACCGAAGGCTTTGATAGATTTTAAAAATTTGTCGAGAGTTGCCACACCGTGCAATAATTAAAGTGGAAAAGGGGAAAACAAGATAAAAACAGGAGGTACAATAATTATACTCACGTTTTAAAATCCTCCCAATACTCCTGATCCTTTAATGGAACGTTTCGTCAGGAATTGTTCAGTCGAAGATGTAGGACTCTTCAGGTAATCAAAGAGGTGTTCCAGGGGTCGGAAGTCTTTTCCAGGGGTGTTGGTTCCGGATATGGATAGAGACGTCGCAGAAGTTGATGAGGTGTTTGGAATAAAATTCGTAGATTTTCACCTTCTATATCCTGTTCGTAGCGCCAGTTAAAGCGTACGATGTTCGAGTGGAATTTTAAAAAACACTTGTTTTAACACATTTATTTGGTTCGGTTATCAGGAACCTTTATTACACTTGATTATTTTAATTAGTACACACTAAAGATGGCAAATAAACAACTAATATAAAAAATTGCCGTAGGAATAATAATAGCAATAGTTGTTTTATATGCCGGATAAGCGACCACAGAGCTTTTCAATATCCTGAAATGAAGGCCGGAAATAAAATGTTATGGCTGAAAGAATACTCAGTGAATGCTAAATACTACGAGGACGCGTGGATTAATGGTAGATCATTTGAAAAGTTACGTAGATTTAGAAAGTGTGAGTAACACAATTCGATAGGATATTGCAAGTGCTCTGAACATCTAGGGACAGTGAATTTCACATTAAAAATTTACGAAGTAGGAAAAGAAACTTTTGCACATGTGGTAAGTGAGCATCAACAGGCGATTCCATTAATAATAAGACAAACTTTTACAGAAAAGCCGGATATTTTAATTGTTAAAGATAAAGATAGTGTAAGGGTCTTTCAAGAATAAAACAAAGTTAAACAAAAAGTGACGGGGCAAACCAAAAATCCGTTATGGGTAAAAAGTGCAACCGTATTACCTCCTAATCATATCGGTGTAGTAATTCGTGTATATGGGAAAAACATAGATGAAAAAGATTTGTATATAGGCAACAATTTAAGAGGTGAACCGGGAAAGCAGCATTTAGTACCGGATGTGATTTTTGCATACAGATCAGTTTGGCGAAGCTGTTTTACCAGTAATCCATCTATCCGATAATGATTTAGAAATTGGTACCGAAGATCCAATTGTCAGATCGCGGACGTGGGTACCGTGTGAACCGCAAAAAGTGATACCTGTTTTACATACTGAAAAACAAACAATACAATATATACCCTTACCCTGCTTTCACACAGACGGTTTTTTGCCGTGGCCGTCCACGGCAACCGTGCCGTGTATAATAGTAATACATTGGTTTATATGCAAGCGTTCACACAGCACGGTTTGCTGCCGTAGCCGTGCACGGCTGCCGTCGCAGCACCGCATGGGGACTGCAACGGCACGGCGCCGTGGCCGTGCACGGCAACAGTGAGACAAGCAAGTGTATAGAAGTATTCACACGTGCCGTGTGTTCACACGGCAAAAATTGTTTTCAGGATCGTTTTTCTCTCTGAATTGTGCAGTTAACAGAAGAAATTATATAGTGTGGCGGATAATAACACCGCTATATTTAATTTAAAACATATATTTGACTAAACATTATATTACACCCTTTTGTAAATATTTCTACTCGAATTCTTTTGTATCTGTCTTTCTATTATTATTATTATTCTCTGTGAAAATATTTGGAACAGTGTCTTTATCAAGGTAAAAATTTTACTCCAAGCATCGGTAGAGATTATATAATTAAGAAAAATTTACCTCCTTTCTTAATAATATATCATTGGGGAAGATAATACAAAGGATATATTGAATATGAGCATTTAAATTTTCTCGGATATTTTTGAAGAAACAAGGTTTTGTACAGATATATATTACAATCTTCTTTTATCTCTTATAAGCTAGACAGTGAAAACTTTAATAATTTGATTTCTTTTGGTATCAAAGCGTTACATAACAGAAAGGAAAACCTTTTTCTATTTCTGATAGATTGTTTTCTGATTGATACTCAATTTTTTTTTATTTCCCTCTTGATATTAAATAAAGCGTAATCATTGTCAATTAATTTTGATGACTATTACTAATTTTTAAATCATCTTGCAATTTTACGCATAATTCATCGAAACTCCTAATGGACATTCGAAAATAATTAAAAAATTTGGAGCTATCCTCTCGTAGCTCATGAAATAATGTTATAAATTCACCCATCAATTGTCTGTTTTCAAGTAGTGAATGAATCCGAAATCTTCTTGTTTTTTGTGTTTTTCTGCGATTATGCCATATCATTAGTAACATGCGTTTTTTTCTTTCGTCCATTTTGGTCATGTATCAAAACAAAACTAAACCGTTAAAAACCGTGTGCAGTGTGAACGCAAAGCAAAAGAAATTACGGCACGGCACGGCACGGTTGCCGTTAGAAAACCGTCTGTGTGAAAGCAGGGTTACCAGGTCCGAAGTTAAAATAGGTTTAGACGATTTTGACGTCCGAAAACGTTTACATGCCCTTATTAATATCGCGAGTGCTTTGCAGTTGATAATTCTGAATTAGATGTTGCGAAATCTACTGAAGTACAAATACAGTTAGAAAATGATAAACCATTTATGTATAGGCTATACCGAATGAGCGCCGTAGAGAAAGAAAAAGTGAACCATATTGTTAGTGACCTATTGCAGTGGAATATAATTCGTAATTCGCAATCTAACTATGCGTCATCTGTGTTGTAAGTTCGTAAGAAGAACGGTGAATACTGCATGTGCATGGATTTTTGTAAACTTAATTCCATGATAGTGATGACCTAGGATTGATGACCAAATTGATATGCTACAGGGTGCTAAATATTTTACTAAGCTGGACTTCATCTGGCATCAGGTTACCATTAGATTTCCGATGCAGAATCTTCGAAATGTTTCACTTCATTTGCTACACCGACAGGTCAGTATGAGTATAATCGCCTTCCGTTTGGACTTTGTAACGCGCCCAGTGTATTTCAAAGACTAATGAATAAACTGTTGTTACCACTTAGAGGTATTGTCGGGGTGTATTTAGATGACATTATTTTAATCTCAAAAACATTAGATGAACATTTGGAAAATATTGAATAGGTTTTCAAAATAATTAAATCTAAAGGTTTAACTCTTAATTTTGAGAAATGTATGTTTATATCTACTCGTGTAAATTATTAAGGTTTCGAAATTTCACAAGATGTTAGGCTGGGAGCTGATAAAATAATTGCCGTACAAGAATTTCCTCGACCAAAAATTCCACATCAGATTAGACAATTTATAGGGTTAGTCAGTTATTTTAGATAGTTTGCATTTAAATTTGCCGAGATAGTTAAATCATTAACGAAACTGATGCTCAAAAATGCTAGGTAAAATTGGGGAAGCGCAGAAGAAAATGCATTTGATACATTAAAACAAAATCTAATTGCACGACCCCTATTAGGCATTTTTAATAAGAATGCAAAAACCGAAGTGCACTGTGAGGAAATTTATTACAAGAAACTAAAGGAAAGAAGCATCCCATAGCATACTACAGCCGTCAAACAACTCAAGCTGAAGCTAAGTATCATTCTTACAAATTAGAAACTTTAGTTGTAGTAGACATTAAGAAAATTTAGAGTTTATTTACTACTTATGATACTTATACTGTATACGGGTGGGTCAGGTCGGAATATACCGAGAGGTAAAATCTCTTCCACCAGAAAAATATTGAAAAAATCTGCAACCATAGTAAGTGCGTACGCAGCTGATTTGGAGATTAGTGCAGTTCGCTGCAATGCTCAATTCTGATGTGGCTAGTATTATTGACAGCAGGAATCATGAGGCTCTGAAAATGCAGGCTTACAAGCTGTTGATAAATAATTCTTTACAATCTTAAACATACATACAATTTAGACATCTTTTTAGAAGTGAGTTAGTTTAGAAAAATTGTTGTTGTGGTCAGAACATTGGTGCGTAAAGCCAAAGGTCCCGGGTTCGATTCCCGGCGGTGGTGTGACAACAGCAACAATTTTTCTCTCATTAATTTGAGGTTGCGTGTAGTGGGTAAAATATTCAGAAATTGAATTTTCAGTATAATATTTCATATTAAACTAACTCACTTCTAAAAGGATGTCTAAATTGTATGTATGTTTAATCAAAGTATATTCAGTATATAGTTTCATCAGTTCGACGGATCGTTAACCTTGTAAGTCGGTTGGCCGTGGTTGCTGTTGTCACCTCTCCTAGTTTAGTGGTCAGAACATTGGTGCGTAAAGCCGGGTTCGATTCCCGGCGGAGGTGTGACAACAGCAACAATTTTTCCCTCATTAATTTGAGGTAGCGTGTAGAGGGTAAAAAATTGAGAAATTGAATTTTGAGTATAATATTTCATACTTTACAATCTTGTTTCCCGAAAGTTGAAATTGCTTTGCGCATTTATTTGTTTCTCATGATCACCAACTGCAGTGGTGAACGATGTTTCTCAACATTAAAACGTGTTAAAAGTGAATTGAGGAACACGATGAGCCAACAACGGCTTAATCACCTCACTTTATTGAATATTGAAAATAATTTACTCCGAGAAGTCGATATCAACAGCATTATTTATAAATTTGCCCAAATTAAATCAAGAAAAGTTTGTTTGTAACAGTTTTGTTTTATTTAATATCATAAACTCGATAAGTACCTAACCTAAAACAGTCTAAGGGCCCCTTGATAGAATTTGCTACAGGCCCCGCGCTGGCTTAATCGGGCACTGAGTATAAGCCACGAAAAGCGATGAATCATGTTGATTGTTTAAGCCGAAATCCTCAGTCATCAAGTACTGGTGTTTCGTTAGATATTTTACACATAGAGCCAGTCGATTGGGTACTTTCTGCACAAATTACCGAAAAAAAGTAAAATTAGTTCATGAAATTTTAAGTAAACCACCCGAAAGTGATTAGGATAAGGATATATAAAAATTACGCATTAAGAAACGGTAGGATATTAAGAATCACTGTTCAAGAAATACAGTGGGTAGTTCCAAAAGGAATGAGGCATGGAATTGTTCAAAAAGTTCATGACGAAGTGGGGTATTTTGGAGTAGAAAAGACTGTAGACCTTTTGTGTAATATATACCTTGTTGAACGATATATTTCCTGTTGTATTTCCTGTCTATATTCAAAATCCATTTCCGGGAAGAAACCAGGGATGTTACATCCTATTGAAAAAGTTGCTATCCCATTTCACACTACTCACGCAGATCATTTAGGACCATTTCATAGAACTACACAAAGAAATGAGCATTTGTTACTCATCATAGATTCTTTTACAAAGTATACAATTGTAAGAGCCATTAGATCAACTAAATCTAAATATGTAATGAAATTATTGGAAGATGTTTTTAACCCATTTGGAACACCGACAATAATTATTACTGATAGGGGAACAGATTTTACTTCAAAATTATTTAAAAACTTTTGCATACAAAATAATATAAAATTAATTTTAAATGCACTCCTCGAGCAAACGGTCAGGTGGAACAAACTACCACATCCGTATTAACAAGTTTAGTTGCTACATGCCAGAATGAAGATTGGGATAAACAAATACCAAAATTACAATTTTCTTTAAACAACACAATACATAGTGTCACAAAGAAAACACTCAATGAAATTTTATTAGGTTATCGGACCTAAAAGTTTAGAGGCCTCGTCATTACAAAACGAAATTCAGGTAAAAGCAGAAGTTCAAATAGATCTTCAACAGTTAAGAGGGGAAGTAGCAGAACGAATTGGAACAGATCAGCAAGATAAGCAATTATTTGATAAGAAGCGTAAGAAACCGCGAAAATATAAACGTTCAGAGTTAGTACTAGTAGTTAAAAACAATGCAGGAGATGGTACAAGCCGTAAATTGAGACCACGGTATTTTGGTCCTGTTATTATTAGAAAAGTATTGAATTACGATAGATACTTGGTAGAAGATTTACCTGGTTCATATAGAAGTTCACGTGCTATGTATAAGAATGTGGTGACAGTAGATAGGCTAAAACCGTGGGTGCCATCAGATGGCATATCAGAGACCACCGATACAGATAGCAGTACTGATGGTGTACCCTGTAACGACGTAGAGTCGGAATAATTATGTACTTACTGGTTGCTATGTAAAGCTGGTAGGAGGAAATAGTTGTACGGCTATTGGTATGTTGAGAGTTTGTGAACACACAGTATATGGGTATTTAAGATTTAGTTGGTAAATGTTTAGATGATGGCCCCTTCGGGGGTGGGGGTGGGTGAGATCTAAAGAGGAGGTCTCCCCCACCACTGTACCATAAAAAGTTATGGGGGTTATATGAGGGTGGGGGTAGAGGGGATCGAAAGAGGGTGGTCACCTGAGTAAAACCCCATAAAAAATTGCGGCGGTTTCACCCCCATAAAAAGTTATCTATGAGAATCGCATTGCCGCCCTTTTTCATATTATTAATTCGTTCTAACCTCTAACTACATTTTTAACCGTCAATTCAATTCATGGTTAATCGTGTATGCTGATTTATTTCATTTGTTTTTAGATTTCCTTCATCTGCAGAATTGTGCACATGTAGCAGTGTTTAATCTATGCATTAAACAAAGACTCATAATCATTGTTTAAAAAGCGAATTTATTCTGCTTTCTTAATACAATTACTTATTTTTGTGTTTAGCTTATAAGTTGTGCTGGTGTAAATAATGTCGAACAATTTAATGTATTTGTTTATATTATTAGGCAGACGTTTTTACGTTATATCTGTTATATTATATTAATCGTTTTCAAAATCAGAAAAATATAAATAACAAAGAAGTACATCAAGACCGTGAAACGCAATTGAAGATAGCAATGGAAACGTATCGCAGTGCAATGAATCAACTGGATGATGAAGCATTTCAAGTAGCACTCAAGGAATTTGGAAAGCATATAGAAAAAGTTCAAAAACAAAGTAGGAATTTAAGAAAACGTAAAATGGCTAAACAGGAATATTTCCCATCTAAGAAAAAATAAAGTACGTATGTAATCTAATCCCAAACATGAGTTTTTTCTAAACATTAAGTAAGAAACCTTGATTAAAAGTTTTTTTATTTTTCTAGATGCTAAAGTTAACGAAAGCAGAAAGGAGTACATTAGGATTCAAATGTACAAAACCATTTTGTATGTACTCTTCAGAAAGACTTAATCTAATCGAAACAGTTGTACTTTGAATTTATAAAAAACCTTCGAAAAAGTTTAAAATGAGAATTATTTCTTCGTTTTTTGTGATGTTTTAGCTTTGTTTCATAGAGACCTGTCCATAATTACAATAAATTTAATAATTAATTAAACATGTTTATTACGTATTTATTTTGCATTATAAATTTGTTGAAACAATTTTTTATTTATTTTATTTTCCATTCATACTAATAAAGAATGCGTTTACATTGTATACGAGTATCATTTTTCTGCCTACATTATTAATTATTAGTAGATTACTGCCCAATTTATTTCTACTCCACAGATCAGAACGCTTGAGACGGTTTGTTTGAATTCGAATAAAAAGGCGGCAAGAGCAAAATCATAGACATGACTCAAAATTATTTCGCGCCTGCGCAAGAGCTACGGAGACTTGCGGTTTTTAGCGTCGCCAATGTATTTGTGGTTTAAGTCAGAGCCGGGCAAACTTCAACCTCGTAGAAGCCGCTACTTGAGGTTAGTTTGAGTCACTCCATACCCATCAATGAGTACGAGAGAGTAAGCAGTACTGACCGGTACTGACCCATATTGCTTTCTCTTTTTCTTCTCCCTTCCACTCCCACATAAAGCCCCTTCATCCCGTAGACAAGCGAAGCCTCTTAGAAGCAACTTAAAAAATACCTACGAATATTTTCGTTACTACGTTCGCAATACTATTGGGTTTGGCTATGGAAGAGGGGACTCGCCTACGAAATGGACGGGATAAGAAAAGGAATCATCTCACTCGCACTCGCAGGATCAATGAGGAGCTCCTTGGCTATACCTGAGGAGCACTCGGGAGTCAAAAGAACCGAGTTTGCCCGGCTCTGGTCTAAGTCAGTCCGTTTGTATCCATCATCAAAACTGCACATTTTATTTTTCCCTTAATAAATTCTAACTAACTTACAGAGTACTGCCGTTTTATTGAACATCGTATGAATACATAATGGGTGATAAGTTAATTAAATAGGTGAAATATACGGATCTACTAACCCCAGTATGTCAGGAGAGACCCAGATATGTCTAGTGATGCCTATAGTATGTACTTGCCTTGTTTGGGGTGGACATGGTGCTATAGCCACACGGGGTTTAGGTTTGTCCTACCCTGTTGGTCTCCAGTATGTGTGAATCCCATCTGGAGGCACGGTAGCACAAACTCATGATTACAGGTACTATCCACCGACTGATGGATAAACGTTACATACCGATCATACAAGACTGGTGAAACACTTCGCAAGTGTTCCAGAAGGGCATGGGTTCCTAGGAACTCCGGTGAGTACATAATTACCTCATGATCTTATCAACCGATCGGTAAGTGTATTTATTTCTTACATGTAATTATGGTTTTCTAAAGTCGAGAATGTAATGTCGTCGTTACCTTATTATCATACAGTCGCCAGCCAGCCAACTATGTTTATATTTGATATATATTCATTAATATTGATGAGTAATTATTACATCGTTTATTCTAATTGATTATGTTGATTTTAAAAATATAATATACCTGACAATAAATTTAAATAGTATCGACATCACGGGTTTATTTATATATGTCTTACAAATAAGGCTTACACAAGTTGGAAGTCAAATGTTTACATTATAGGAATCTAATTGAATCAAAGCTACTGATGTTTTGGAAAAAGGGATTTTATATCCACACTTTTGTAGGATTTTGCGTTAGTTAATTCCAGTGATTGACATGTATAAACATACCAATAAATTTTTATGACAGATGTTGTTTTAAGACATTTCGTATGCTTGATGTCTTGTCGGCTAGTGTGAAAGAATATTTATAAGAATTTACACCAGAGCCGGCCAAATTTTGACTTCTTAGGAGCGACTGTATGCAACAGAGATAGATATAGAAACGAGCGATACCTTTTATATAACGAGGAAAAAGGACGACAGTAGATTTGTATACCTCTCTCATTTGCTCTTGCAGGAGCACCTGGGATCGCTGGGAGTGGAGTTTGACCGCCTCTTAACATTTAATACTTTGTCATTTAATTGATTTTTGTTGATAACCGGAAACCTGGGTAATAAAAATGTCTATCAGGATTGGTGTGTTCTAGCTTATTTCTAATTGTATGTTACAGTTATGCTCAAAATTACATTGTTGGATCCTAACAAAAATGTAAAAAATAAATATATATATTAATGGATATACAAGAAATTCAGCTTAACAATAACTATTAATCGTGTAAAATTGTAAAAAAGTAAAATTGACTGTCAATATTTGTTGTTTTAGTGTTAAAATCTGTTTTTATTTGTTGTAGATTTGTTTTTTATTATTGTATATTTACATTTTTTATTGTTTTCTTTTTTTACTTTTATTGTTATTATGTTCTTGACTATGAAAAAGATACTGTTAAATGTTATAGTAAAATCTAATACATCATTACAATTTTTTATATAAACTGTTCTCGATACCACCTATGCAGCCAATTAGATAAACTTGTAATTAAATAAAAAATAATCTAACTACTGTGAACTTTCGAACATACAAAAATTTACTTCATTTTTTTGTTCTATTGTGCTCTATCACCTTCTGCAAGGTTGCTAATTATTTCAGAAACACCCTGTATATCTTTTATCTATGGTACTAAGCTATACTAACAAAAAGCTACCGGGTACAGGCTCCATCATTATCTATGGCTCCATGCGACGGGTGGAGTGTAACCCACAGATAGCCTAACCTATCACGTTTAATAACAAATACCCCATGGTATGGGTTATATATATTTGGATTGCTTCAGTTTGCTGGTTGATACGAGTTTTAAAGTGTATTCAAGTTAAGATGCTGTAGAACACTAAATATGATTCTTCTTAAACAGTCACCTTTGAAATATGGGAAAAACTTTTTGCGTACACTACGGCAACTAAATATAAACAGTAAAAGGCATTTAAGTGATAATAGGTCTTATGAAAACAAACAAAAAGAAAAATTAAGAAGTACATTATATTATGTAACGGCTACAGGAGTGTTTGTGGCTGGTTTAAGTTATGCAGCGGTTCCTTTGTACAGAATGTTCTGTCAAGCATATAGTTACGGAGGTACCACTTCTACAGGTCATGATGTTAGCAAGGTAGAAACAATGACACCTGTTAAAAGTCGTCCAATTAGAGTAAGATTCAACGCAGATCTTGCTTCCAGTATGAAGTGGAATTTTAAGCCACAACAAACTGAAATTATGGTAGTAATACAGTATTCATTTTAACAAAAAATAGCTATTTACAATTTCAGGTGGTGCCTGGTGAAACAGCGTTGGCATTTTATGTTGCTAAAAATCCTACGGATATGCCCGTAACTGGAATAAGTACATATAATGTAGTTCCTTTTGAAGCTGGTCAATATTTCAACAAAATTCAATGCTTTTGTTTTGATGAACAGCTATTGAATCCTCATGAAGAAGTAAATTAACAGAAAATTTTATGAAAACATTATTGTTTGTTTTTTCTTTTTTGTTTAAGGTTGATATGCCTGTATTTTTTTATATTGATCCAGAAATAATGGAAGATCCTAAGATGGAGTTTGTTAATGATATTACATTATCGTATACATTTTTTGAAGCAAAAGAAGGTTTAAAGCTTCCTTTGCCAGGATTTATGCAGAAATAATGTGTACATTTTTGTAAATAATAATTGTTTTTTATTAATCAAAATCAAGAGACCCAAGGCTCAATTGGGATACAAAAAGATATGGATGAATACGCAAGGCACAATACCTACTCAAATACAATAGGTAAAAAAGTGAATTTAGTTTTTAAATTTATCAATTACTGTTCCATATGATTTATATCATCTTTACTTTTGTTGATGAATTAAAATTATTGATAAGTGTAGATTGTCCAAATACTTCTTTGTTATGGAAGGAATTCATGGATATTTTGTTGTTAATATTAAACAAAATAACAAAACATATAGATTTAGACAATTATGACCTTCAGAGCACATAGAGGAAATAAACAACCTGCAAAAGCTGACTAGCGAAATTAGTCGCTTAATGAATTAAAAAAGGAAAAGAAATAATATCGCCAATGGGTAAATCGGTAAATGTTCACCACTTATTAATCATTAAAAACAATCTATGAAACTTCCTTTAATTCTACAAGTTTGAGTTTCAATATACCTACTTGATAAATACGGTAAAGATGGACTTATTATTTTGTTACGTTTATCGCATAAGTTAACATTTTTTAGGGTTGGTCAGTTGATTTGTCATGTTCGATTTCCACTACTTTGGGCTTGTCCCTTTTGTTAAGGGTTGAATTTTTGTTAAAAAAAAACAAGTTTGATTAACATTTAATGATGGAAAATTGCTTTTGAAGTGATGTTTTTTAATCTTATAAACAATTAGAATAGAACCGTTTTCCCCCCAAAGGGCAAGAAAACGGATATTTTGGGTCTTGCCGAGGCTTGACCTTACGGAGATTACCCTATCGATTATTTTCATGAACAGCCGTCAAAACTTACCTTCCTATGTTGCGGAAGCTACATTCCCATGAAAATTCCCCTACTCTTCTCAACTTATAGTTGCTTTCGCCGGCTAGAGGCGGCGCTAGACTTAGCGAACCGCCCTTTCTTCAGTATCTTCTCCCAAATGACGGCAAGACCCCCTTTGGGGGGAAAACGGTTCTATTTTAGGTCTGCCTTCGGCTTGACCTTACGGAGAAGTGTTTATCCTCTGCCGGCACCAGCGTACTGTGATCAATTCCTTCAGTAAAACAACCAATCAGGAGCAGCAAGTTCACCACTGGACCTCATCAATGGACCGACAAGATTTAAAGTCATCAGAGACCAAACTAGATCTAATTCTAAAGATTGCCTAACCCATTGAACCCAGGAGGAAGGTTAGGCCAAGGGTTCACAATCAACCAAAAAATAAGAACCAGCAAGATAGATTACAAAAGAATCGCTTCCTTTTTTATTGCGCGTTCAGCTATACAACATTCTTAAACTAGATTTTGCATAATAACAAAAATCGCATACAAATATAATTTCTTAACATGCTTTTTTTTATCAAGGCTAAAGTAGTACGTACAAAAAGACCCATCCTTAGACAGGATCAAAATATCACTTAACAAAAAATAACTTAAGTAAAATAAACAAAAATCATACGGCTCTAAAAGACTTTCTCAAACTAACGTTTAAGTGTGCACTCGGCTTTTGAACCGTCTTACAATAGTGTTTAAAGAAATTCCCGGAACCACGCCAGTTACCTTTTTTTAAAATGTCCAAAGCAACATTATTATGAAAATCAAAAGATGCCACCGCAGAACGGATAGAACCGGCGCCCATATCAATACCTAAATCTTTGAAAGGTTCTTTAAGCCACCTAGCTATTATGGCACGTGAATCTGCTTTAACTTCACCCCTTGTTGTAATGAAAAGGGCTGATAAATTCGGTCGAGCCCTTCTTCTAGGCGCCGATACCTCTATTAAATGGTGGACCCATTTAACTAAATCGAGCAAGTGCTCTCCTTAACTTTTAAGTTCCCAACCCGATTGACGATTTTTGTCGCTATCGGTCTTGGAACCGAATTTCGGTCAGAAGGTGATAACTGAGTCGGACAGCTGACAATGCTCCTCGTCTAGGCTAATAAGCGTTAGGTCATGAACCCTACGACCTGAAGCTAATAATAATAACGCCACCGTATGGCGTGAAACCTGAAAAATACTATCTAAGCTTGGAGGATGCAATTTCAGCCAATCAACTAAATCCAAAACATTCCAAATATGAGACTTCGGCGTAGAAGCTGAAGACTTAAGGCCTATCGCCCTCAACATTGATTTGATCAAGGGGTGAGCTGAAAGACTCACTATTTTCTGGTGAAGATAAAGAAACTACCACCGATTTATGAACCAGAATAGTTGAAAAAGCTAGTTTCCTAACTCTGAACAGGAACGATAAATACGAACAAATATCAGACGCCTTTGGACTATCCGATCTCACTCCTGAATGTCTACACCACAACAACCATTGTTTCCAGGCCGCGTTATAAGTATTTAACGTTGATTTTCTCCAGGCAGACTGCAGAAGGTCGACATCCTCTGTTGGTAGATCTGATACTAAGGGGGACCACCCCGTACCTTCCAAACCTCCAAACGAAGAGCTTCCGCCTTGGGTGGAGGTAAGCCTGTCGACAGATCGACCAGGCAATGGGACAAGTTCCTTAGAAGAATTGGCGCCGCCAGTGCCCTGCTCTTCAGATCCGCTATCCAGAACACATTTTCCCAACGCGGAACTACTAGAATTAACACTCCTGATGATTTGTTCAGATGTTGTAACACTGGGAACCAGAGGGGGCGGCGGAAAGACCCAGGCCAGATCGAACTTCCAAGGTCTGCTGAACGCATTGATGAGAGTCCCTTGCATTGATTGCCACGTAATTCGGGACGACTTTCCACTGATTCGAAGCAAACAAATCTATCTGTGGGGTTCCCCACCTAGAAAAAATCATTGATGTTACCTCCGATTTCAGATGCCAAATGGGAAGAGTCATGTCTCTCGACAATCGATCCGCCAAGGTGTTGCAAAGACCGGGAAGGTAATAGGTAAGAAGCGAAATCCCTAACCTGTGGGTCATTAAGAGAATCTGTCTCGCAGCTTGTAGGAGAACTTTCGATTTCGTTCCCCCCTGATTTCTCAGGTAAGCCACAACCGTCTTGTTGTCCGATTGAATCATCAAGGACTTTCCCACTAATAATTTCCTCAATTTCCTCACGGCTATAAACACGGTGAACATTTCCTTCCTGTTGATATGCCAGTTCATATGGGACTGAGTCCACACTCCTGACCCCTGAAAATCGCCCAGCTGAAAGCCCCAACCGGCATCCGACGCGTCTGTTGACAAGAACATCATTGGCTTGGACAGGAATATCTTCCCCGGAACCGAAAGATTCTTCAACCACCACCGACAATCGGCTAGAGCATCTGTTGGTAAGAGAACCTTCTTCCTCGGCCGACTTTCCGGCAAAGACCTGCTCGCTCGTTGCAGACGTCTCAAAAAGAGGCGACCCAAAGGAGTCACTAGAGACGCGAAACCTAGTTTGCCTATCAAGGACTTCCCTGACTCCCAACTCCATCTGTTCGTGATCACCAATTGACGCAAGTTTGACGTTATATTCTGAACCTTGTCGATGGGAAGACTCATCTCGTTCTTCTCGATGTTCCAGATGATGCCTAGAAACAGACAACTTCGCCTTCAGAACCGATTTCTCCAGATTCACCTTCCACCCGAGATCTTGAAACAAATTCACTGAGTATTCCAGCTGACTCTCCAGAGTTGCTGCGTCCTGGTGCGCTAACAAAAAATCGTCGAGATAAACGGACTCGAATTCCCTTTGAACGAAGAAGTCCCGCCAACCAATTGCTCACCCGAGAGAAAATCAGCGGAGCGCTGGATAAGCCGAACGGTAGACACGTCATCTGATGTATTTTGCTTTTGTAAGCAAAGGAGAGGTACCTTCGGTGTCCCTCTTTTATCGGAATATGGAAGTAAACCTGAGATAGGTCCAACTTCCCCACAAAATCTCCTTCTTGTAAAAAATCCGGTACCTTGCTTTGATTTACCAAGCGAAAAGTTTTGGGATTTAGGAAACTGTTGAGTTGATGAAGATTGAAAATTTGCCTTACCTTCCCATCCTGTTTTGGAATCAAAAACAGCTGGGACAATAACCCCCAACGCGCTTCGGAGCTTTCTACTACCTGCTGTTGGATTAAACTTTCGATTTCCTCTGACATTGCTTTTGAGATCTTTGTTGAGAATTTCTTTACGAGATCGGCAGTGAACGGAATTGAAGGAGGCTTCTTTACAAACGGAATCGAGTATCCTTTTATGGCTTTTAAGACAATCGGCGGTGCTCTTAATTCCTGCCAACGTCCCAGGAACTCCTTCAACTGACCTGCCACAAAAGGAAAGTCAAAAACTCCGCTCATGGCCCCGACGACGTAACTTATTACTCTTCCTTGAATGGCTGCTCCGACTTTCACGACGATTCTTAGAAGAAGATTAAGTCGAGAAAGGAGGCAGAACAGAACGTGCTCTCCAAGATGAGCTTCTAGGCTTCGAGGACTTGGATTTAGAAGGCTGTTTACTCTGACTTGAGCGGGTTTCTCGCCGAGAAGAAAATGATTTGAAGCCGGTTCTATCCGAACGCGAAGGGAAAACCCGAAAGAATCCCCCTTGTTCCCGAAAGAACTCTGATAATTTATCGTCATCAAAAAGGTGAGTGGCCGAAGGGGGAATTTGAGCTAATTTTGACGTCTGAAAGTCAGACTTTGTTTTAAAGGCTTGGCGCCTATCATCAATAGCCTCAGCCCTATGTGCACACACAAATTGCAATAGGTCGTCCGAATAAGACTTAAAGGTAGAGTTAGAATCATTTAACACTAATTTAATGTCCTCTGCCATTGCAGGATGCTTAGCTACCAAATTTTTTAAGGCTTCCGTCAAAGCTTTTCTTTGGTTCAAAAGACCGTGGCAAATTGTGTCTAAAGTATCGTCAAGTTAGCTAGAAGCAAAAGATTTAACAGCTATACCCCCCAATTGGTTATTGACTTTAAGAGCTCCGAAAACTGGTGCAGCCTGTGAGCGTTTTTGTATATCCTTGTATCTAATTTTATTCCAAGATTCCAAGCCAAACCGTTGGCAAGTAATACTTTCTGATTTAAGAACCGGAGTCGGCTCTGGAATAGACGGATCGGCTTCTTTAACTTCCGGTAAGAAATCTAAATCCGGAGGAACTATAACAC